CTTTCTCTTTTCCTTCATCTTAAAAAATCCTTTCTCTGAAAATGCCTCCACATAGTAACATTCCACACTGTTACATTCTACACACATACACACTTCTACATCATTCACTCACTCATTCTCTCACTCATTCTCTCACACTTCTTTATCTTTCACATTTTTCTTCCTGCCCATTCAGCTACATCCCTCACTCGGCACACATACAGACCTCACTCTCACACTCACTACCCCCTTACAGCCAAACTCTGAACAATGATATGTTACATTTTCAGGGTCCAAACTATTCTCATTACACATGATAAGTCGCACAGTTTTTCTCAGGCTAGGGAGGTCTCATTGACCCGCCAGTGAGTAACGCTTGGTCGTGCTTGTATCACTTTCTCAGACAGAAAGTGACATTGAAATTCAGGACTTAACAATAACAGTTAGTTGGCTGAACCTTGAGTGGTTGGTGTATGTGTGGAAAGAGAATTACTGCAGGGGATTATGTTTGCCAAAGTTGCTTCATGTCTGACCTTGATTCAGCAATAAACACCTGGGAACTTAAGTTTGTATATTCTCTGCAGGGCAGCTTGTCTGTTTTGATTTTGTTCTAAAGTCTAAAATTAGCTGTCTTTGTGACTGAGAATACTGTTACTTTCCTGTGTTAGTTATGAAAAATATTCTAGTATTATTTCTATACTTAAGCAGAAATCATCTTCCTTACCATCCACAGTTCTGTGTATGCCCAAAGATGTAAAACACACTACCAGTGGGCTATAGAAGGAACCTCACAGCTGTTCTTTTAAGGGAAGAAATATAGTGGCACATGAGAAAACTTACAGACAGAAACAAGCAGTCATTAGTCAGTAACCCCACAGTATTGCCAAGTGGGACTCCCCATCAGAGAGTTATTCATCTGGTGGGTCGACCTGTTAAATACTAGTTATCACTTGCTGTACTCCCATGGCCCTTGGCATAAATTTTTATAGGTGAGTTGGTTAGGGTGTAATCTGGAGTCTCAGTTATTTACTAGAACTTGCCATGTAGCCCAGGCTGGCCTCAGATTCTTTATTTTCTTATCCACCCTCCTGAGTGCTGGGATTGTAGGTTTGCGTTTCCACACCCATCACTAAATACTAATCTTCATGGACTTAACTCATTGGACTCTTCACCTGCCTTTTGTTTTGTTTTGCTTTTGAGACGGGATTTGGTTATGTAGCCCAGGCTAGTTTGAACTTATGGTAATCCTTCCTCCTCAGCCCCCTGACTTCTGGGATTACAGGTTATGTACCACAGTGCCAACAATCCTAACACAATAAAAAGGTGTTTATTATCTTCTCTACTTCATTGTTGAAGAGACTAAAATGCATGGTGGTTTAATGTCCATGGCTCTCCCATGATCACAGGAAGAACGGTCACGCAGAACAAACTGTTCTGACTCCCAAATTCAAGTTTAGCTTCAGGATGCCACTTTGTAAAACATTTTTTCAGGATCTCATATTCAGACTGGCCTTGAACTTACTGGGTAGCTAAGGATATCCCTGAACTTTTGATCCTCCTGCCTTCACCTCCTGAGTGCTAGGACTCCAGGCATGTACATCCTCAGTTCTGGGGGTGGAACTAGGGCTGTATGTGCTAGACTAGCACCCTGCCAACTGAGCTCCATCCCAGTCTCTCAGATGCCACTTTCTGTGCATCTAGCAACAGCCCTCCTTTCCTTCTGGTTCAGCACTCTCGGATTTCTTCCTCTGACACAGCCCCTCCCACCCCCCATTTCAGTAGTTCTTATTTCCAGCTAAGGCAAGAGCATCCCCTGGCTACATTGTGAGTGTGAGGACAACCTTGGCTACTTGAGACCCTATCTATCTCAGGTGGGGCCATTTGGTAAGTTACTGTTATTTTTCCCAAGTCAGTACAGCTTCTGACACAGATAGGCAAAGAGAGTGTTTCCTGTTGAAGGGTGTGGCTCGAAAGTGATACGAAGTGAGGAGAAGTGTCTACAAAGTGGGCCTTCTCAGGATCTCACTGACCATGAAGGAAGGGAATGTTTCGAGTAGTCAGGTGATTATAATCTTATTTAGATTTTAGAATGGCAAATTTCAGAAGTTCAGAAAAGCCTTTTCTGAGCTTCTGAGGTGGCTCAGTGGGGAAAGGCGCTTGCTGCTCAGCCTGACAGCCTGAGTTCAATCTATGGAACCCACGTAGTAGACTGAGAGAACCAACCACAAAGTTGTTCTTTGACCTGCTCGAGCTCACATGCCTGCACACACGTACGAAATGAAATAAAAAGAAAAAGCCTTTTCTGTTTTGTCGCTAAGTGGCTGGGATGTGACTAACTGCACAGAGAATCAAGTTCTGAAGCTGGATGTTCTTTCCAAACATGGAGACAGTTCTTTAGAGGGACAGAACTGTAGGCTTGTCGTGTGCATCGGAAGGACGCTTTTAAAGGCTGAGACAAGCCACAGATAAGTGTAGTCTTCACACCTCATCAAGGAGACTTTTCACAATAGACAGAGGCTGCCACAGAAAACCACAGCCAATCAAATTGCAGATTTGTAGAGCCTAGTCCTCTACAAATACATCTACATAACACTTCCGAACCTAAGTCTCAGGAAACATTGAAGAAGAGGGGGTGGAAAGACTTTAAGAGCCAGAGGATCAGGGAGTTTGCTAACTAAGAGTGTGGCTCCTAGTGATGTCAGAAGCTACACCAATAAAGTCTCATCAGCACGACTGCCTTAACATGAGCTGAACATGCCAAAGTGGATGGGGAAAAGCCCACAAGGCCTCAACTGTACACAGAGAACTATGAGCAACTAAGGAGTGCTGAGAGCAGGAGAAACAGTCTTCCCAGAGAAGAGCACACCAGCTGATCATCCAGTACTAAATGGTCAGCCCTGAAAACACACATATAAGTGACATTATACAGATTGTGTAGGTTATATCTAGGAATATATATAGATGCTTGTGATAACAATTAATGGACAAAGAGGCTATGGATTTGAAAGAGAACAAAGAGGGGTGTATAGGAGGCTTTGGAGGGAGAAAGGGGGTGGGGGAAATGATGTAATTATAATCTGGAGGAGGGGCTGTGAGACGGGACAGCAAAAGTGGTATGGTCCTACAACTTTTCTTTTACATTGCACTCAGAGTGATCCAGAAATGCAAAGAAGACAGAAAAACAGATTTTTTAAGTTCTGTTCATGAGCCAAAAAGGAAAAAAGACAAACAGGAAATGGTAGTGCCACACTTAGGAACGATGATGTCATACTTACTGCCACAGGAAGAAGGCAGATCTAATCAACTCCTCTCATTTTGTTTTCATATTTTTTGTTAAGGGAAAAAAAAAACTGGGAAGCTAATCCTCAGTCCTTAGATGTCACCTGTGATCCAGCAAAGTTTGTTAATAGTCACCATTGATGCAGCTTTTGAAAATGAGATCCTCTGGCTGCATCCCAGAGGTGGAAGTTCACAGTTTTCTGAAAGAGAAATCACAGTCCCTGCCCTGGTGTGAACTTGTGACCTGGTGTGATCAGGCCTGGGCAGGGGAAGGAAGACAAATAGATGGCTTCCAGAGTCAGCAGCTGTAAGAGAGAGGTGAGCAGAGAGAATAGAATACTCAGCACACCATCACTTGATGCTGCTTGTGTGTGAAGAGTTACTCGTTTGTTCTTGTTTTTGCTTTAGAGATAGGGTCTTTCCTGTGGCTAAGGCTGGTCTGGAATTCACTCTGTAGATCAGACTGTCCTATGGGTCTCTCATTAAACCTGGGTCTTAGCATTTTGGCCAAACTGTCTCTGCCCTCAGTACTGGGCTTGCAGACACAGCAGCTGGAAATCCAAACTTAGGTCTTCACACTCATGCAGCCAAGTCCCCACCCTGTTACATGATTCTTATTTATAATACTTAATGTCTTATCAGATATAAGATATTATCAGTTTACTATGCTTTTTCATGAATGATCATATCCATCCTCATTTGTAAAATGAGTAATAACACCCGGACAGAGACTTGCAGGAAAATTGAGAGGAAAATGTTCTAGGGCAGTAGCAAATGCAAAAGCCCTGTGGTGGGAGTATGCTTGGCATGTTGGAGAAGAGCAAGGAGGTTGGATGTAAAGGCAGGACTTATAAGATGAGGAGCTAAGGGATGTGGAGAGCCCAACAAGAGCAGAGCTGGGCATGTAGCAGGCTCTGCAGACATGTCAGGAGTCAGTGGACAAGCGAGAAGGCAGAAGACCATTCACAACTGGCCAAGGCTAGCTGTTGGCCTGCAGACGAATTGCCTTGTTAGAGTAGAAGCAAAGTTCAGCTGGTCATGGGGAGTCCTACCAGCCTTGGAGTGCTTTCCTGCACTATTTATGACGGGAGTCTCTCCTGAGCCCATCACATGAGGTCTGGGTGGAAGGTTCTCCCTGTACCATCACGCCAGCACTCTGGGAGTTTTAGGTTTTAGAGCATTTTGAATTAGGGGATGCTCACCCTGTTTTAGAATTTTGGTTCTTAAGACATGGAAATGATTTAATGTATTTTCAAGCTGAGGAGAGGTAAATGTTGTAGCCACATCCAGGGTGAGTTAGGCAAGAAGATCGAGTGGAAAGCATTGGAGGCCATCTAGATGTCAAGCCTTGCGTATGAGAGAACAGCAGCATAAGTCAGAAAAGTGAGGGACTGAGGGGCCCAGACCAGAAAGGCTTAATTGATCTGAATATGACTGTAAATTCATCTGGCATTTCCCCTTTTTAGAGACTATTGAGGTGGTTGTTGCCAACTTATTGGTGGGCTTAGTATTTCTGTGCCCTTTGGATTACAACTCCTCAAAGCTCAAAAATGATGTGTTTTTTTTTTTTCCAGCTATATCACCCTGAATGTATTGACAAAAACGTGCTTCTCCTCCAAGCCACCCCTCCAACTGGCACCTAATACCTGTTTTAATATAGTATGTTGAGATCTAAAGAATCCAGATAGGCTTCCTCCTGACCAGAGGCTGCCATTGAACCCCCACTGTCTGTTTTATTTCAGTGCAAGCCGCCAACGACTCCATCTGCAGACTCCAGCAGAGAGAACAGGAACGGAAAAAGGTAAAAATGGGCAATTTGAGCAAAGGGGCCATAAGTTCTCTGAGTTCATTTTCTGACATTTCTGATATGCTTAAAAGACTGAAGGATGGGCCTGGAGAGGTGGCTCAGCAGTTAAGGGCACTGGCTGCTCTTCTACCAGACTCAGGTTCAATTCCCACCATCCACATGATGGCTCACAAAATATATAACTCCAGTCCCAGGGAATCCAGTGCCCTCTTCTGGCGTCCGCCGGCACTGCATTCATATGATGCATAAATACACATCCAGGCAAAACACTCACACACAACAAATATACAGGGGAAAAAAGATTTAAACATGGCTAAAACATTAAGATGTATTGAAAACATGGTGGTACCATCATCTTTTTTAAAAATGTTTGTCTGTGTTCGTTGTGGTGAGGTGTGCAAGTGTGCTTGTTGGCATTTGTGCTTCTGGAGGCCAGAGATGGACATCTGGTGTCTTCCTTAATCCCCCGTAGCCCACTTTTGGAGACAGGGTTTTGTTGACCCTGGGCTCATCGATTTGGGTAGATTGCCAGACCGTGAGCTGCCGGGACTCTCCTGTCTGACCCCCCCTAACCCCAGCACTGGTTACAGCTGCATGCTGCCACTCCCATCCTTTACCTGGATGCTGGGGATGTAGGACCCCATTCTTTCTGAGCAGGTACTTTACCAACGAGCCGTCTCCCAGCCCCCATCCATTTTTAATAATTTGAATATAGACCTTTTTTCAACATTTCCGTATTTTCTCTGAAAGTAATATTTGTCTCACCCAGCCAGGAAAGAGAAAATAGGACTTTTGCTTCGTGTGAAAAGTGCCCACCTGTTGGGACACATAAGCCTTGCCTATGAACCTGAAGCATGTTCAGTGTGGCATTATGCACATTCCTTTAGGAAATGTGGCAGGTGCTCAGTGGACAGTCACGGGGGTCTGTGCAGCCTTAGCTAGGCAATGCGCTGTTTAATTGGAATTGTATCATAATTCAAATGTGGAAAACCAGTAAAAAGGTGGGTTAATGGGGTAATTCACCTGGAAATTTCTTAGTGTTTCTGTAATTTATTTATTGATCTAAATTAATAAAAATACACCTCACATTTACTAGTACAGATGTTGACACTGCTGTTCATTCTGAAAGCAGTACCTGTCTGTGTGTTCATTAACTGAGGTCTACCACAGCATAAATAGATAATGGAATGAGCCTTCCAGAGTTGTGGTTTTACATCCTTTATCCTGTTCTGTATGTCAGTAGAGAGCTTTGAGGCTCAACAATTTTTGATGGTGGAAACCTTCCTAAAAGGACCTGGTATTTGAGCCAGGTGGGTAGGCTGCTCTGGGGTCCCAGGGTCCAGCTCTGGAAGCAGGGCTTTGCTGAGCACAAGGCAGAGTTGTGCCTGGGAGACCCAAGGCGGGTGGAGTGCCAGCATTGTGCGGAGTGAACCGAAGGCAGGGACTGGAGTGGAGTTGCTGGGCTGGTGCTTTACCCGCTGCCACCAGGGGGTAAACACTTTCTTAATTGTCATTATGAAGGCAGTTTCTAGACCCCGGGAGCTAAAATCCAGGAGTCCTAAACCACAAATACTAATAGAAAATAGGCCAAAGTCAGCACTGTAGTCAAGTTACAGAAGCCTTGTGTGATCTTAGCCAGAGGAGTGAGTAGGAAGGCAATCCATGCCCGCCCCGACTGGCAAGTGAGAAGTCAGTTGCTGGTGGGTAGAGGACGGGTTAGAGGGGAAGGAAATGATGTAAGCTAAGAGAGAAGATCGGAGAAGCTGGTGTGCGGCCAATCTGGACGTCCAAATGACAGCTCCGGGATCCTGAGTCCTGTGTTGACACTGTTACTGGGGCACGAGGAGCATTTCTGTTTGTAAGAAACAGGATATCTGGTACAATGCTGGCTTGTTTGTTTTATTTTGAGACAGGATCTGATGTAGCCCAAGCTGGCCTTGTACTTCCTATGTAGCAAAGGATAGCCTTAAACTCCTGGTCTTCCTGCCTCTAGTTCCCCCAGTCTGTGATTTAGACTTCTGCACTGAGCCTGGCTTTACACATGAGTATTTTTGAATACTGAAAGGCTGTTTCACCAAGAATTAGTATAGAGTCAGTGGACCCTGCATTTATAAGGAGATACTCTTATTTTTTCCCCTCCAGATAGTTCAATAAATTAACACTCCTGAAGTTAGAAAAGAGGTGCATTTTCACAGACTAGCAGCAAGTAAAAATTCCTTACATTCTTACTGGGATAAACTTCTAGTCTAAGTCCTAATTTTTTCAGTTTTATGCTTACCTAATTATCGGAGCATTGGAAGTATATGGCTGCAGGTCCTTAAAGTTGTTTGTTTGACTTTATTATCACTCCACTGCCTCCTGGACATGCACGCGCGCGCGCACACACACACACACACACACACACACACACACACACACACACACACTGTAAAGGTGAAGCTCAGGTCCCTTGGACAGCAGGTAGGTACAGATGAAAAATGACCTCTACACACACACACACACACACACACACACA